ATCATCAATCGTTAGTCTAGCTAGTGGCTAGGGGGAATCATACCTAAGTGAGTTCCCAACCTGTAATTAGATTAACTTTAACTGTAGTTTGCTAGAGTAGTTTTAGTTCTTTCATCTTAATCTGATTTGCTAAATAATAAACTGAAGCTGAGTAATAGTAACTCTAGAGACCCGTGGATTCGATATTTATCACTTGAGCCACTATACTGCAGTCCCTTTCATTGGTTACACTTGGCCATTGTTAGGTGTTGTGTCGTAGCGAGTCAGCATCTCCTCGCTGGGGCCCAGCATGTTATAGCAGAAATGAGGAAAGGTGTGATCTGCAACCAGAGGACTTTCCTGATCTTGATTATCATGGGAATTCTCTGTGATAACTTATGCATGTTCCTCAACATCCTCATGATTGCCTTCTTCTTCCTCCTCCTCTACTTGTATGCAGCATAAAGGTTGTCTTGAGAAAACTGTGCACAGGCTTTCTCTATGACATCTATGTGCTTCTTTATGCTTCAAAGGGTATCCTCTGTTTCACGGGGAAAGGAGAAGTCAGTTTGGGCCATGGACTGGATATGAGGATCCATCTCGGGAAAGGATCTCTCAGGTACTCGAGCAATCTGCTCCACGAGAAGCCTCAAGTGATAGTTTGGATATGGTTGTGAAGTGTAGCATGGCTCTGCAGAATGGCCCGTGAAGGCCGCCATGGGTAACTCCACCTCCGATGGCCCTTCTGGTTGTGGGAGAAATTCTTCTTGATAATGATGTTGTTCTTGATATGCCCAGGGGTCTGATTGTTCTACGTAGTAAGGGGGTTGGTACTGGAGCCCGAATCCATAGTCTTCTCCTTGATTGCTCCAGGGAGTCTCGGGGTAATACCACTCGGATGGTGGTGGATACCCCCAATGGTTGGAGAAGCCATGATGATCCATGATTCAGATCTGCACCAACAAAAACAAAAACACCCAAGTGAAAAGCAAGGGTGGAAAAGAAAAGAAAAACGCTATAGTAACAAACTTCTGCCTTTCCTAATAATCTAGAAAGTCCCCGGCAACGGCGCCAAAAACTTGACACGCTAAAACACAACACCTAACAATGGCCAAGTGTAATCAATGAAAGGGACTGCAGTGTAGTTGCACAAGTAATAAATATCGAATCCACGGGTCTCTAGAGTTACTATTACTCAACTTCAGTTCATTATCTAGCAAACTAGATTAAGGATTGATTTACTAAACTACTCTACTAACTACTCTACTAATTACAAGTTGGGAACTCGCTTAGGTATGATTCCCCCTAGCTCCTCAATTAGGTCCAAGTTGCAATTACCTTTGGTTGATCTACTGTTGAATAAACTGCGGAAGATCCTAAATTAGCTTGGAATCTCTTCAGCTGACCAAGCCCTCTTAGACAGAATACCCGGCAGGCGACTAGCCTTCACCGGGATAGACTGCTAAGGCGATTCACATCGATCTCCACTACTGGAATGAATTCCAGTACAAAGCAGTGAATTGATTGACTCTCGCACAACCAATTCACCACTATCAATCAAGGAAGCTCTCTTAACCTAATTAGATTCTATCTATCATAGGTTAAAGCAGAAATAAAGAGAATTTGATCAAGATTCAATTGACTCAATAAATCATGCCTCAATCGATTATAATCAAACAATATAACATCCAAAACTTCATACAAGAAAGATCCTCACATATGGAACTAGGGTTCCTCAAAACCTAGGTGAAGGGAAGTTACTCCATAGAGAAGAGAGAGACTGCAGAAATCTGATCTAGATCTTCAATCTCCATCTCCAAGCTTGATTCTCGAGCTCCAATGACTAAGAAATCCTCCTAAATAGCTCCAATAATGTTCCTAAGTCGCTCTCTCTCTCTCTCTAGGGTTCGTCCCTTGGGTGTTTGGGAACCAAAACCCAGCTCTCTCTCCTTTGGTTCGAATTTGGGTTAAAACCCAGAATTTCCCGACTCACACGGCCAGGCCACACGGCCGTGTGAATTTCCCAGCTGCCCGTGTGAGTGTCCAAACGCGGCGTTTCGATTAATGGGCAACCAGGAAAGCTGCACGGGCAGAGGCCACACGACCGTGTGGCTCCCTAGGCTGCCCGTGTGGCTTTTACCGAGCCTTCACACGGCCACAAGGAGCCCCTACACGGCCGTGTGAGGTGCAATAGTGCCCGTGTGGCTTCCCAGCTTCTCGCCAAATGTCCAAACTTCGTCCAATCGACCCCGAACTCGTTCCCAAACCTTCATTCACGTACTAGGACCTGAAATATCACAAACAAGCACAACCTATCGTGAAATTGGCTTAAAACACGAGAATCAACATCTCAAACGGCTCAAGAATAGGGGTAAAAAAATGTGCAATTAACGGTCTATCAGGCGGCTTTGCCAAGGGTCTGTTCAAGGGTTGTCTAAACCCTTGCTACATCCTGTAGCAGGGGTTAAAACCCTTGCTATGAAGGAAAATAACCTTGCCATAGACCCTTTTTTTGTAGTGCAGGGGCGGACACACGGGTCATTGGGGGTGTTCCGGGAGACCCCTAAATTTTCGACAAAACGATTATCCAACCTCCGGTGGTAAATTACATATGGACAAAAATGTTATAATCGATAGTCGGGGACACTTCTGAAATTTGAAACATTGATTATCCTACTCTCGTCGTTTAGTTTGCTTATGAGAATATAAGTTGTAGTTTGATCAATGAAAACCTAGGACACTATTATTGTTAATAAAAATAATTTTCTTTAGACTACAACTCATTTGTTGTTCGATTTTAAACAATGTGTAATAGTAAAATGTCATTCCATATCTCTAATTATTTTCAAAATCTAACAATTAAACAAATGATTTTAAACACTGTTGTAGGACAAGTGTTGAAATAGTCTTTTCAAATATGGGTTACATCAAGAACAAGTGTAAAAATTGAATATGTGATTAGTTCGTGAATGATTCTAGTAGGATATACAAAAACAATTTTTTTGAGTAGTGTAGACAACAACTGTATTTTGTAGTTATTTTTTTTTTCCGGTGATTTACAGTTTCTATTAAGCACAAACTTTCTGCAAAAATGAAGAAAGCTTCAAAAAATACAAAGGCGAAACGCCGAAAACATCCTTACGAAATATCAACTCAACACAAAGGAAAAAACCAGAAAAAGACTAGCTAACACAGCTCACTATAAGTCGAAATCCTACTGATCTCCTGCTGGAAATCAGCGTTACCACATCCATACAAACTGATCTCCCTGCGCAACATCTCAGCGAGAGCCTCAAGGGAATAAGATTGCTCTCCAAAGCAACGACAACACCTCTCCTTCCAAATGAAAGACAAACACCAGCTCCAAACTGAGCAGTCAATTAGCCCTTCTCTAACTCCCTGCACAGATTTGCCAATCATGCTATCCAACATATCATCCCATGTTTGAGGAAGAGACACAACTCTCTTAAGAAGTACTGCAATAAAATCCATGGTGAAAGGGCATTCACAAAATAAATGATATCGAGACTCAACAACAACATGACACAGAGGGCAAGAATCATCAGTTACCACCCCCCAGCGTCTCAATTTATCCCGAGTAGCAATTCTATCCAATATGATCAGCCAGACAATAAAACGATTACGTGGTAAAATGAATCGTCCCCAAATCACCCTCCACCAAGGCACCTCAGGCCTTTTTAGTTTAATGGAGCCCCAGATTAGTGATACAGAAAGTACCTTCATTGGTCTTCCCAACCAAGATACACTTCCATCAGCTTCGAGACACATCCTGAACTGAAACCAGGACTTGATTTTGAGCAGCTGCTTCCAGATCTAAGACCCAGAAGTAGTGAGTCTGACCTCCCAAATGCAGTGTCCCCTTAATCTATATCTGGTACACCAAGCCACCCAAAAACACCCTCCCTGGATCAGCAGTAGCCAGATTAGTCTCGCTAAACAAGCAATGTTCCAAGTACTTAGGTCCTTTAGGCCAAGACCTCCTTCCTTCTTTGGTAAAGCAATTGATTCCCAGGCAACCTTGGCCCTGCCAACACCATCACCATGCCATAGGAAGTTGGAACAAATCTTCTAAATGCTTTTTAGCACTTTCTTGGGGAGTATAAATATTGTCATCCAGTAATGAACTACTGCATATAAAACTGACTCCACTAACTGGATCTTGCCTGCATAAGACAATTTCTGAGCTCTCCATCCTCTGATATTTTTGAATTAAACAATTAAATAATTTTTATCAATTATTTAAGAATTATCTTTATTTTATTTATTTATTAAAAGAGGACACCCCTATCTAAAATTCATGTGTCGCCACTGGTTGGTACGGAAGATAAACTGAGAGACGAAACACAAGATATAAAGTAGTAACACCTAAAAATTCATTGAGTCACATAACATAATTTCTAGAATTTTTTCTCGGTCAAATTCCATGGTTAGAGTGGCAGCAAAGTAAGAGTGGTTGACTATGATTTTGAGCAGTTACTATGTCAACTGGACAATTGGCCGTGCTCAAAGCTAGTGTATCAAACAAGACTTAATTTGCTACTGAGATGTATATGGGAGCTGCAGGAAAGGAGAGCCCACGTCTGAAGAGGTTTAAGTAGCTGAGAGGCAAAAATTTGGGCCCAGATACAAATGCCATCATGTAACGAAGCAATAAAGCTGGGCTCAGAAAACCAAAATAGAACCAAGTTTTAAACTAAATCTTGGTTAAGTTAGAAGAAAAAAACACAGCCCAACAATCTATGCAAAAAAGAAGTCTAGCCCAAATTTAACCAATTGCTAAGATACCCGACAATTCTCAAAATAAGAAAAAAAGTATTTGTGATTATCCAGCTTACCTATTACCCATTATGATGGGGATAAGAACAAACAAAAGTGCGGCTTACACGTGTCATCAATCCTGTGAGCGTCGACAACTCGACATGCAACCCTGCATCTAGCATAAAGATACCCACGCGCCCTCTCCGCCAACAGAGTCGAGGGAAGATCCAAAGAGGAAGTTGATGAGGGCCTTAGGCTTGCCGGTGCCGGGTTTCAGAGGAGCCTCGCTCACAAGCAAAACTAGTATATCGAACGAGAGAGAGGATGTGACAAGGGCTGAGATGCTGGTCGATGACGCCGGGAGACTAGCAGGTGGCAGGCTTACACAGACCCTCCTCGGCCAATTTGGCCAGAGGCCCCACCGCACAAAGGCGTTCGAGCTGCATGCAGTGATACCAAAGGGGACAGTGGAGCACTCTGCTGGGGAAACCGGTCCTTACGAGGAGATTATTGAGAGGGAATTGTGAATTAGGGTTGATGCGGTGGCGCTGTATTTGGTGGAGAACCCAATCAAGCAAACAATAAAGAACACAAAGATTGAACGTGCTATCCCTGAGATTCAGGACTAGTCCACGTGAGAGACGACACTCTCAAAGGATTTCACTATATCGGCTTAATCACCAAGTACAATAGTCGTGACCTACTCCTAATTACATTAGACAACCCTAGGTAAATAGTATATTTATAGATTGGTACATAAAGTTCATAACTTAACGCCCTCCCTCAAATTGATGTGCGGTGCACAACATCAATTTGGATGATAAGTACCAGTGTCGACTAGAAGCCACTGCCTTTGTCAAAAGATCCGCAGTTTGGTCTTCTGTCGATAGATAACCAACCTGTAAAACACCTTCCGCTATCAACTGTCTAATGTAATGAATATGGACCTTGATGTGTTTAGTTCTGTCATGCAAAACCGGATTAATCGCAATCTGTAGACGCGCATCGGAGGACGACACAGAACTCCCCATAGAGGCGCATAAAAAGACGACACAGAACTCCCCACTCTTCGATCAAACATCAGATCCAAAATATCTCAGAACTGAATTCGGATATAGAGCGATACTATGCTTCTGTTGATGACTTCGATACTTTATCTTGCTTTCGACACCTCCATGAAACAAAAGACTTCCCAACCCGTACACACCAACTAGAAGTAGACCTGCGCGTATCTACACATCCTGCATAATCAGCATCAGCAAAAACATCCACAGTAGGATCTCCCTCGGCTGGGAAAAACTTACCCACATCCTACGTCTGCTTCAAATATTGCAGGAGTCTGTGAACTGCTGCAAATGAAGATTAGTAGCCACCCCCATATGCTGACTAATCACCTGAACAACATACACAATGTCATGTCGAGTATGGTTCAAGTAGATAAGACTCCCAACTAGGCTCTGGTATTGTGACTGGTCGGCTAACATTTCCCCCTCGTCCCGAGGCAACTTCAGATTCTGATCCATCGGGGTAGAGCAGGGAACACAAGCATAAAATTGGGACGACTCCTACAGTGGAGCGTCGTAGCGGAACCAAGGGCTGAACACGAGAGTCAGGGTCTGTATCACTGGCAGATAACTCTTCCGAAGAAGAGGAAGAAATGGCAAGAGACGTGGACGGCCCAGATGAGGAGCCCGATGAGCCAGCTGAAGAGGTGGACAGACCGGTCGACGTCAAGGGCTACGTAACAGATGGGGAGAGCGGCTCACTTACATCATTCGAGTAAGTCGAGCTCGTGTCAGCCACATGAGTAGTTGTATGCAATATAGGTGTCTCAAAATTCTGCCAGCCTGTGAGAAATTCCAAAGTCTCTGCAGTACTTGCTTTCGCAGTAAGACAAAACACGTACATCCAAAAACCCGAAGAAAAGAATAATTTGTCAACTTGTTGTACAAAACCTGATATGGAGACCGTTGACCGAGAAGAGGTGTAATCTGACGGTTAATTAGATAGACAATAGTATACACTGCTTCCACCCAGAAACCAGTGGGTACTCAAGAAAAGAACAGACTGCTCTCGTGAGTTATAGGAAATGCTGATTCTTATGCTCTACCACCCTGTTTTGTTGAGAACCCCCAGGATAAGACTGTTGTGGAAGAATACCCTCCGGCTTGAAAAGAATGAGAAGCTCAACAGCAATGAACTCTCCACCAGGATCAGACTGAAGCGCCTTAATGGTTTTTCCGAACTGGGTTTTAATCATCTGGACGAACTCTTTGGCCATTGCAGTCAATTCCGACTTCTATTTCAGAAAATAGACCCAAGTATAGCGAGTATGATGATCCATATAAAGTGCAAAATATCGATACCCCATTCTCGAGATAACATGAGACGGTCCCCAAAGATATGTATGAACTAAATCAAATGGTTCATCATAGACAGTATCACTAGTCGGAAAAGATGATTGAGACGCTTTAGCTTCCAAACAACTCACACAATCTAAAATACCATCAAATTTTAACCCATCCAATTTATCCGGTAACAAATTATGTTGAAACATGGTCTACAGTCAACTTGAATGAGGGTGACCCAACCTATTATGCGACAAATCCCAAAGTGACTTCCCAAAATTATCCAAAATAGTCGAAAAAGAAGTAGAACTACTACTGCCATTATTCCCAATACATAAACCCCTTATGTCACCAATTCCTGTCGACCCAAATTGTTCTTGAGGAACCTCCAGTTGCACGCGTCCATCACGTCCCCATGCAACATTAGTAGTCATCATGCATGAACCTTCACCCGTAGCAGCCGCCATTCATGCACCTTCATTTGCACGTCCACAGAAAGTATCAAGAACAAAGGTACGTCCCACTTTACTTCCTTTCATGAGTAACCTCCCCGTCGTCCGATCCTGCACAATACATCCATCGGAATCAAACACGACATCACACCCATCCTCCGTCAACTGACCAACAGAAACCAAGTTTGGTAGAAGTTGAGGGACATAAAGAGTATTAGGAAGTGAAACAGGGCCAGTATGAGCAAGACAGTGCCGTGAACAAGAAGAGTAGCCCTGTTGGCCACTTGAAGAGACATAGAGGAGACCGGGGCCAACTATTTAAACGTGGAATGCTGATAGGTCATGTGATTAAAGGCGGCAGAATCTAACATCCAACGAAGGGACTTACCAGGAGGGAGTCCCGTAGCAAACGCAGAGGAGAGCTCTTCACGGAGAGCATCTTGAACCATAGTCCGAACCTGCTCCTGAGTGATAGAGGAAGTGGAAGATCCGGGAGCCGAGACGGCCTCTAATGTCATAGGATAAGCTTCCCACGAGGGTCAGACCCAGGAGAAGGAATCGGGTGAAGCTTGCCACGTTTGCTGAGTGTAGGACACTTGGAGACAATGTGCCTGGGCTTCTTACAATATATGCAGAAGTTCTTCTTGCAATAGGTTTGAACATGGCTAGGCTCACGAAAAAGGAAAAAAGTGACTCCCGCCGCAGCATACGAGGAGCTCGATGGACGAGAGGTAGCAGCAGGTCGGCCGACCGCAAAGGCGAAGTCCGAGAGGGAGTGCGTAGTATCAATCTGAGACTGACTACGTGGGCTAGTCTCCTCCCGCATAAGTTTAGCCACTACAGAGTCAATATTCATAGTATTGCGATGAATCAAAGACACGCGGATCGGTTCAAATTCAGGTCGAAGTTTGGCCAGGAATTGAAGGACCCGTGTCCGAGCACGCTCCGCCTGAACAATCGCACCGTGAGAAGGTCATATTCATTCCATTGTGAAGACATTCATGATAGTAACTCCGAATATCCCAATCACACTGAACAAGCCGACCAATCTCACCCTCCAACTGAAACTGACGAGAAGCACTGTTCTGGGAATAAGTAGCAGTAATATGAGCCCATAGCTCATGAGCATAACGAAAACGACGTAAGGTAAGATCTATAGGAATATCAACAGAACCGGCGAGCCAAGTAATCAATTGAGCATTGCTTCCTCCCAATCGGTAATCACCGTAGCATCAGAACCCGCCGCCGGAGCTTTGGATTTGCCGGTCAAGACCGGAAGAAGCCTTTTCCCCGCAATACAATTGCGGAATTGAAATTCCCAAATCGAAAAATTGCGGCCATCAAACTTAACAGAGACCGACTCCATCTTCGACAAGTCCATATCACAAAAGCTGCACACACAAACGGAAAACCCAAAACAGAAGCAGCACTCGAGAACAAAGGCAGAGAATCCCTAGCAACAATGACGACCCACGCACGCAACAGAAAACCAACGACAAGAAAAACCAATGCTGCAACACCACATCGCCAAGAATAACGTACTAACCTTTAGAGCAGAGGCTCTGATACCATGTAAAGAATCAAGCAAACAATAAATAACACCGATATTTAACATGATATCCCTGAGATTCAGAACTAGTCCACGTGAGATACGACACTCTCAAAGGATTTCTCTATATCGACTTAATCACCAAGTACAATAGCCGTGACCTATATATAGGGTCTTAACCATACTCCTAATTACATTACACAACCATAGCTAAATAGTATATTTACAGATTGCTACATAAAGTTCATAACTTAACAGTCAGCCCAAGCCTTTCTACCATGAGGGAGCAGGTGGCGTTGACGTTGTCGTCGTTGAACATGTTGCTGACCTTGTCGTCGCCGCGGTGGGTGACGGGGATGCTGCCGTGGTGGTCGGCGAGGTTGTACCGTGGCGGTAGTAGTTGCAGCTCTCATTATTAGTTTTTTTCTTTCTTGAGTATGTTATTTAACTAACTATTAAATGGAGAAACAAAGGCCAATCTTGCAAGGTAAAATACCTGGAGTGCCACTTAAGTTTGAGAATTGGGGTATGCATATTATTTTAATTTGAATAGGGCGTCGAGACCACTGAACTCTATTATATGTGCACCCGGTACAACTTAAGTTTACTGATAAATGCATTCCGTTAAAGTTGACAGAATATTCTTGGAATATTTCATTTTCTAAATTTCGTAATTGGTCCTTCTACTTTTCTTACTGTAAAAAAATCAATTAGACTTATGAAAAATATCATTTTTTATTGTTTAGTTAGAATCTTCTTTTGAATACTTGATATCAAACAAATTTTTGAATAGAAATTTTAGAATCAATTATCATTATAATTATTTTAAATTATCATTATGTGTTCAAATAATTAATTACTTCATGAATGTTGTAACTAAATAATGTTGTAAATTTTATAGTTATATTCTCTTTTCTACATTTTTTTATCGAATGTTGTAGCTTTCATATTTTGTTTATTACTTGGTTACTTTTCATCTCTTTTCGTTCTAAATTTTTTTAATTAGTGAAATATGTTTAATTCTTTATGATTGTGTTCCATTTATCCTTTTTTTATTTTGATGTATTGATGATCGATTAGGTTCTATTTTAGCTATTTCTAATGGTACTTCTAATTGAATTAGGGGGTTTAAATAGATATTCTAATATTTATTATTATATTCTAGCATATTTATTATT